ATATTTAGATGTAGTTGTTGAAGACGATTAGATAACAGTTCAATTCTTCTTAATGAAATCAAATGTTAGGGGATTCAAACCATAAAATAGTTTTTAAAAGGGGGTACCGATTATGTTATTGAAGAACATTGACCAAATATATGGATTGTGTAATGGTAAAAGATTAATCATTAAAGAGATGTGAAAGAACATTATCAATGTAATTGATGTTTCGAGAAATCGCGTTGGAGAAAAAGGTTTACATACCCTGAATAAAATTTGGTATCATCTGATAGAATTCTCAATATAATAGTCTTATGTTTTGCTATGACTATAAACAAAAGTCAATGTCAAACATTGTCTTTTGCTATATTATTTTTAACCAATTCGGGATTTACTCATGGCTAGCTTTATGTTACTGTTTCACGAGTAAAGAAAAAGACATGATTAAAAATATTGGTTCTAGATGAAAATAAAAACACTTACAACGATACAAAAAATGTTGTGTCCACTAAAGTCTTTCAAAAAATTTGGAATTAAAAAAGATTTTTTCGAGTACACTTTCAATTTCTCAAATATTATATTCTACATTGTCGTTGTTTTCCATTGATTAAAATTTGTGACAGAAATATATTTACTTGATTCTGGAATAAATATTTCATTGAAAAATTTCAAAATCGACAACAGTTTCGTTCGACCCCGTGCATCGCACGGGTCAAAATACTAGTATATATATGTGTGTGTGTGTGTGTGTGTGGGTGTGGGTGTGTGTGTGTGTATGGGATTGACTCCAATCAAATGACACTTTACAGTGAGATGACATGCTACGGTCAGATAACGCAAATTGGCCACTACAAACCTCACCAAAGATAACTACAAAGCTCACCAAACTGTAAGAAAAAACTCACCATATTTTTTCAACACTTTGATTTTTTTGAAAAAAATAAAATCAAAGGAAGGGGTGCTGACTAGATTTTGACCGTTGAACCACCTTTGACCGCCGCCTGCCGCCACCGCGCCACCACCGGCCGCCGCTGCTCCGCCGCAAGCCCTCGCTGCTGACCGATGGTTGAACAATGTTGCTATTTTATTTTTAATTAATTTTTTAATTTTCAAAATTTAAAAAAAAGGTGAGTTTTGGTGTTCAAAGTGGTGAGCTTAGATTTATTTCCAGGTGAGCTTTGTAGTGTAGTGTGGTGAACTTGTCAATGACTCGCAATGCAAATTGCCCTTCTTTATTGTTATTTTAGTTCAAATTGATTCTTTAATCTTGTTGTTTCGTATTTAAATTTGAATAAGAGCAACCACAAAAATTAATATTCCACAAGATTAACATTGAGTGGAGCTGATATATTAGTTGGACTATCTTTGTTCTCTGTTCTCTAGCAAGTCCCGTTACTCGTACGTACCTTACGGTCGAGAGACTCCCGTTGGTCGAGGTACGAAGTTTCTAGAGAAAAGATATTCGTTTCACATAGTTCAACTCATTTCATTGAACATAGTTCAACTCATTCAAAGAGGGGGAGGGACTTCGTTCCTCAAAGAAGAATTCTTCGAGTCACTTCATAAGTACAAAATCCATTCATCTTCGAGCTTAGGATGATTTGCCCCATGAAGCTCCATGTCGAGCGGCTTTACATTCATTTTAGAAGTAAGGGGAAGAAGCGGGGTAGAGTAGTTGATTATTTCGTCAGGCTCATGACCTGAAGATGCCATGTTCGAATCCTGCCCCCACCTAAGGAACATTGCTCGCCGAGATAGAAGGCTGGTCCCTACCCATATTAAAATCCCACAAGATTAACATTGAGTGGAGCTGCTATATTAGTTGGACCTCTGTATTATCAGTAGTTTCTAGAGGTTGACATGGATTAGTCTTCTCTAGGGGTCTCTCTTCTTGGATGATAATTCATTGGATAAACTAATCTCTCTTATGTAACTCACATTTTTAAGTCCTAACATATTTAATTTCTTCAATTTCTTTGATTTCTTCTAATTTATTTTAATGGTTCGTTTGGTGAGTTTTGAAGATATTACTCCATCTGTCCCAAATTATAATGCTTGTTCACTATTCACAGGATCAAACTTTATTCACTTTCTTTCTCAATTTTTGTTAGCAAATTGATAAAATAAAGTACTATTGTCACTACTAGTTTTGTAGATCTTTTGATGTAGTATTTTAATATGTAATTTTTATGTTTTAAATATATACCATTTGTCATATATTTAAAACATTGTAAACCGAAACAAACGTTATAAAATGTGACCAAGGGAGTATAAGATATGAATTTTGATATTTGAAAGAAATGATATGGGTTTTGAAATCTCGATCAAAACTATTTTGAGAGGGGAGAAATTAAATCAAATCAAAACAATACTCCCTCCATTCTTCAAAACAATTCCTGTTTTGACTTTTGCAAGATTTAATTTTGTAATTTGACTTTCCATTTAAATCACTAACGTCGAAAAGAAAAGAACGACAAATCAGTTAAATCACTTATTGTATCAATACAAAATGGATGGAATATATTTGCATGTTTTATTTGGATATATAAACCATTTTAATCAAAAAAGGAAGTGTTTTGGTGAAAGCAAAAGAATGAAAGAGAAAGTATTTTTACAAACGAAGAGATACAAAATAGGTGACTTGTTAATTAATTTATTGACTAGAATTTAGTTCAAGTTACTCAGGATATGTGAAGCCATTGAAAAGTAAGAAAAAAGAAGAAAATCATCATTTGTCCAAGAAAAACCATACGATTGACTTATTGAAGAAGAAATAGGAATTGTATGGAGAAGAAACGAAGAAATAAAAAGATAAATGAAGATGGAGGAGATGCGAGATGGGGAGGAAGGAGATGTACAGTTCCAAAGGAGAAGATGAGATCAGAATAGCGGAGATGGGGAGCGCGATTTTGTGATTTTGAAATCGGCACTCTAAGTGTTGAAATCGGTGCTCTACGAGAGATATCAAAAAGCGGCATATTGGGAGGTTTCTGATTTCTCGAGATTTGAAATCAAAAATCCTTTTTTGCTTCCCCAAACACCAATTTCTCACCAAACAGGCTCTAAGTTTTCAAATCATTTCAATTTCTTTTAACATTTTTTGTCTTCTTAACTACTTTCAATTTTTTTCTAAAGTTTTTCTAATCTCTTCATCATCTCCTATTTCCCTTCATTAATATGGAGTACTCCCTCTATCCCATTTCAATTTGTTCACCTTCAAACAAATCGGAAAAGATACCTATTCGGAGTAAAAACGAGAAGCACGGTACCTAGTCGGCGCACAAACAAAGGACTAGGCACAAACTGTACCTCTTGACATTTCTGAGCAATCTCAGACTCTCAGTTGGTATTAAAGATATTTAAATTATATATATATATATATATATATATATATATATATATATATATATATATATATATATATATATACTCCCTCCGTTTTCAAAAACACTTCCTCTTTCATTTTTTTCACTTCCAACAAAACACTTCCACTTTCTATTAAAAAACCACTTTTACCCTTACTTTTTCATACCCTACTTATCACATCATACTTTTTCTCTAATAATCTATCCATCACATCTTACTTTTACCCATCACATCAAGGGCAAAATTGGAAGTCAACTACAATTTAACACTTCCTTATTTTTCCACTTTTTCAAAGTAGGAACTCTTTTTGAGAACGGAGGGAGTATATATATATGTATGTATGTGTGTGTGTGCGCGCGTGTGTGTGCGCATCAAGCTTCTCACGCCTTGCTTTGGCGTGCCTTGCTTTTGCGACCTTTGCCTTTACGCCCCTTGCTTTTATGCTCCCTACATGGCGTGGAGGGCCCAGCAGCCAGTGTGCACTCTCTTTATGGGAGTTGTGATATTGTCTGACTGCGGATAAAAACGGCGTCTAGCTCGTTAAGGTGTGAACCCTTGACATTGTACACATTGGTGGAAACATTTACAGCACGTGGTTGCCGATCAATCACATGAACATCAAATGTGGTACAGTAGATTCGAGCAGCGTTACCGCGAAAATCAGCCCAAAGAATACAGAGACGTTCTTTGCCTATGAGCAATAATTTTGCAGGGGTATAACTAGGAAGAACTCGAGAATATTGTTTCTTGCCTGCCGGCAAAGCATGAGGAAAGTTCTCCAAACCAACAACTGGAGTTTTGTACCATTTATGGAAACGGTCATTGTAGACCATAAGATTGGCTCTTTCTTCTGGTTCTTCATTGAACAAAAAGTAAATCAAATTGCCATGACCAACACCACCTACACATTCCAAAGGGTCTTTGATGCGGTCGCCACGAGACACCTTAAATTCATTTTTGACAAAATCATAGGAAATCCTCTCCGTCCATGTAAAGAACACGGCACGCGTATCACGTCGCTTGATATGGCCCGTAGCAGGATCAGCGGTGGTTTCATAATCAAGTTTGAATGCAAGAACCATAAGGCCAGTCTGATACTGAGAGTTCTTTACTGATGGGATGTATGGACTGCCAGCCCTTTGCCAATTCATTGCAATCAAGACACTTCAAATCAAATGAGTAACAACCAAATGAGAGACCCTCATACATTCCAAAGGCATAAACCTTGTCATTGGCTGAAAAGAAGTAATATTCAAAACGTGTGTCCGGAAGGTAAGGAAATTCAGTCCATTCACCCTTGGTATCTCGTGTATCATGATTAAATAGATGCCTTACGCACGTTTCTGCATAACCACGGAGGGTGAAGATGTAAGGCCCAACAGAAAATGGAAGCCAGCCAAAAACATTGAAATAGGGAGAACCACATTGAAATAGGGAGAACCAGGCTCGTCCTGAATGGCGGGGTGGATGTGCCTATCCTCACCATCCTCACTGACAGACTTGCGCTGTGTTGAAATAGAATACCACTTAATTTCGTAGTCTGTATGGGGGTTTAAAAAGCTTCCATAGTCACGCCTTCCGGAATATAAACGGAAATAGATGGTGACATCTTCAGCTTCAGAATTGGCACTAGTGCTCAATCCACAATCAGATTCAGCTTTGAAAGATGCCGCCATTGATGTTTTGGCATTTCCTGTTCTAAGAAGTCGGTCCTGGTGAGGATTAAATGCGAGCAATCGGTCAATGCGTTTTTTGATTTGGGCTGCTAAACGAGTATGACTTTCAGGGACATGTACAGCGCCGTTGTTGGTGGAGGAATCCTCTGCTCCTGATGTCGCCTTCATCTGTAGGGAGCGGTATTTGTGAATGAGTTGCTCGATCTGGCCTATTTCTTCATCATCTTCTTGGAGATGCATCGTACTGTCTGGGGTCGATGAATTCTCCATTACTAAATACCGATGGACAGAACCACGAGGAATCCAATTCTCCCTTTCCCTGTTTTGATTTTTGTGCGGTTGAACTAGGGTTTGGTTGTTTTCTAGAAGTTATATATGTATACAACTGTACCCAAAGCCAATTTTGATTCTAGGGTTTCATTTATTCTAGGGTTTCATTCATTAATTTAACTCTAACGACTAACATCTACTCCCTCCCTCCTCTGTTCCGTTTTGAAAAAATTGTGTCCCTTAAAGTTCGTCTTATTTCTATTAAAAAATCACTTTTACCTCTTACTTTTTCACACCCTATCACATCATACATGTTTACTAATAATCTACCCATCACATGCTACTTTTAATTATCACATCAAGGATATTTTTATAAAGTCAACACCAAAATATCTCTCCTTATTTTATCACTTTAGTCAAAATGTTCTAATCTTTTTGGGACGGAGTAACTTTTTATACGGAGTATGTAATTTCAAACTTTTCAAGCAATATGTCGTTGTTCATCTTTTGCAAGACGCACCCAACGTCACCAATATTGGATACTCCATGCGTCCCGAATTAGAATGCAATTTTTTTCTCTGTCCTCTCGATAACTTTTGTTTGTTTACGCGATTTCATTAAGTATTTGATAAAATAAAATATTTTTGTCAATGATTTTGACGTAATTTCTTAATATGTAATTTCTTATCGATATACCGATTTGTAAATAAAATGATTTTAAAAAGTGAGATATTTCTTCTCGTAAACCCCAATTTGATTACAAATTGGGGACGTAGGGAGTATATTACTTTGACGTTATGACATGCTTTTACTTTATTCTTTTACTCTTTTGTCTTTTTGCTCTTAGTCAAATCACTAAGGCTCTGTTCTGTACGCCGGATTGAATCTGATCTGATTAATTTCTAAAAATTTATTTTGGATATTTAAAAATTCCAAAAATCATTATTTTCCAAAAATAAAAATTTTGTCTCCTACCGTATCATGGAAATCGAATTTCCAAATTTTTATAAATTTTATTTTCAAAATTTTCATACTTATCCTTTTAGGAATTGAATTAATTTTCAAAATTAATTCTAAATATTCAAAATATTCCAAGAATCCATATATATCCAAAATATAGACTTTGTGTCCTACTAGAATATGGAAATCGAATTTCCATCTTTGAATATTTTATTTTCTTAAATATATCAATTATCAGACAAGGGAACTTAAAATAATTTCAATAAATTAATTTTTAAATCCAAAATTTCCAAAAATATATATTTCTGAAATACATTCATTTACTTTCCAATTGATAATTTTCAAGAAAATAAAATATTATATATATATATATATATGTATATATATATATATATGTAAATATATATGTGTATATATTTATGTATATACACACACACACATCTTATATATATATATATATATATATATATATATATATATCTGTGTGTGTGTTATTCATAATTAACACGGTAATTTAAAGATTACCAAAATATAATTATTGATAAATACAAAATAATTATTTTATTTTCATCATATATTCCAAAATAATTGTATACTATCTGAAAATCATATTTCCAAATTTATAAACTTATATATTCGGACTTTAAATTTTAGTTCTAATTAATCACTATTAATTAAGAATAAGAGCTAATTAAATCTTAGAAAATAAAATACGAAATTTTATTTTAATATTCCAGAATGCTCAAAGTCGTCTTTTAACATTGTAAAATTTTAAAATCATTTTTCCATATTTATATTGTATTTATTTTGTGATTAATCAAATTAAATACAAAATCAAATGAATACTCAAAATAAGGAATTTAATTTAGAAAATTTAATTTTATGTTTCCTGAATGCTTAAAGTCATATTTTTACATTCCAGAATTATTAAAATTGTTTTTCTAATTTATTGAGCATTTATTTTGTATTTTAACCAATTAAACTACAAAACTACACTTACTAGATTAAATATAAAAATAATACAAAATTAATTCCAAAAATCATATTTTCGAATGATATAAAATCCTGAATCATAATTTGACACTTTAAATTATTTTGTATGATTTTCGAAATTTATATATATCTGGATTAAATTTATCAATTGTCAAAAATCTTAACAATAACAAATCTACAAAATTTATAACTTCGTAAGCTGGCTTCGATACCACTGTTGGGTAATGACGCATGGATAGCAGAGCAGAAAACAAAATTTTATATGCAATCTTTGTTAAGAAAAAATACATTTTCTCGTAGAAAACAAATCGGACGGTGGAGGTGAAAGGATTGGTACAATGAACTACTTACAAAAGAATCCAACTTCTAGCGCGTCCACACGAACAACGAATGGTGTTCAAAGAAGAATTTATGCTAGTAAATTCTTTTAGAATATTACTTGAATATATAAATTCAATTGGAAATGATGAAGACAATTATTTTTCTCTTCCTCTTTGTGATTTTCGGCCAAGGGATGGAGGAGTGATCTAAAGTGGCGTGTCAGCTTATTGTTTAAAGAAGATCCTATCTCTTATAATTGTGGAAGAAGTTGTGTATCAAAACAAACTCCTACATCCTCCCATCACTTTTATTTTCGGTCCATGCAAATAAAATTTAACAATTTATTTTGTCAACTTTAATTATTACTCGTATATAATTAAGACAAAATAAATATTAAATTTATATTAATAATTCAGTAATTATATTACCGTGTGTGCGTGTGTGTCCATATATATATATATATATATATATATATATATATCTGTGTGTGTGTATGTATGTATGTATGTATATATATAATTTCACACATAAGTTTTGACAAACTTAACTATCATATAATTAAAATATCAGCATATTTATTTAATATGTACTTCACACGTCCCATAATATTTTAATTCATTCCATTTAACATTATATAATTATAACTTTATTTTTATAACATTATATTTCATAAAAAAAGTATATAATTTTAAAAACTCTTACATTAGTGGGTCGACCAGGTCGAGTTCAGGTTTGGTCGAGTTTGACTCATTTTTAGCGGGTTATTTTTAGCTTAGTCAACTTCGTGTTCAGTCATCAAAATATTTGTTTGGGTCAAAAACAGGTTTTTTGATTGAAAAACCATTCAGGTTAGCTTGTGTTTGACTCATTTTTAGCAAGTCAATTCGGATTCGGTCAACTTCGAGTTCGGTCATCAAAACCTTTGTTCAAAATCAACAATTTTCGAGTCGAATTTTGGGTCAAAAACATATCGAGTCATTTTTCGTCAGGTCTGGTTGGAGTGAAGAGTGGGGGCGGGGAGTGTGGAGTGGAGGAATTTTTTTGCTTTGCTCTTGAAATCAAAGCAGTTGAGAAATTATTATGAAAATGAACTTTCGTCCAAAGGAAAAAAAGTCATTTTCCTCTCTAAGGGAAGCATTTTTTGTTTCTCTCCACTAATTGTCTGAGTGATACTGAGGGGTCATTGGGGATGAAGTTCATCTTTTACAAGTAAGAAAAAATTTTTCAAAAATAATTTCCTCTAACTCATGTTATCAAATTTTAGATATTATAATTAGAATCTTATGGAAATTTTTCTCTAAGAACTACAAGCAATCAGAAATATAACATTAAAAAATTTTAAAAAAATTACAGAATAAAACAAAATTGAGCAATGCTAGGGGTACACCAAAGGTGTACTCTAAATGTACACCACCCCCTTCTCCACCACATATTTTTATTTTATTTTTATTTATTCATTTTTTTGAATTTCTTATCTTTTTTTGTAGACAAGGAGGAAGTGGGGGACAAATGGGGTACACATTTGGCATAACCCAATCATTTTTCAACAAAATTTCATTTAACGGTTCAAATGCGAGTATCCTAAACAAAGAGAACAGAACAAAAGATCCCTAGAAAAAAGAGAAAAATAAAAGAAATGGGAGCCATTGGAAGACAGAACTTATTTCTTTGTTGAGAAATGGAAAATAGAAAATGGAAGGGGATTGGTTTGCGGTTAAGGAGGGGGAATCTGCACCAGGAGTTGAGTTTTACCATCCAAATGAAAAATATTTTTGCCTTGTTTTGCACTTCCCCAATTCCAGCCATATTTACATCTTTCTTTATTCATGTTCGTCGCCTTCCTTAATTCCCCTCTGCAATGGCAATCGCGGCCGCACTTATTCTTCCGCTGGGCGTTCTTTTCATCATCTCCGGTGTTGTTGTTAACTTCATTCAGGTACCTCTTTCCTACATTCTAAAATCTCCTTTTTCTAATTTTAATTTTAGGATGTCTTGTGTTGATTTCTTTTGTATTTTCGCGATGCGGAAGAAGAGAAATAAAAATCTAGCCAACTTGAGGAGATATAACTTAAATTTTCTTGCTTGTATACGATGTTTTCTTTTAGATTTATTGCCAATGTTAATGTTCTCTAGTTACTCTTGTTGTTTATGAGACATTCAAGATATTATTCAAAAATAAAAACAAAAACAAAACAAAAACAAAACATGTTGCTTGCCCCAAACCTGAAAATGAAGGGAGTGCCTTGAATGTAATTGTCACCTTAACTCCAGGAGTAGGAGACCAGGTGTTCACAAACAAATACTTTTCGGCATGACTTAAATTGGAAAATATCTCATGAATGTAGAGTTTTTTAAAAGCTATTAATGTAGAGTTAATGTGACGTTTGGTGGTCCTAACACGTGTTAATGCACATTCTTTTTCTGCCAACAAATAGATGGGCTCTCCCTAGTTTTATTTGCATACAAATTACTCGGTATTACTCCTACAGTCCCAATAGAATAGGTTTTTAGAAATCCTAAAAGAGCAATAATTCATCAAGAAATGCTATCATTTTCATGTGATTTATTAGATATGATAAGCGTAGTTCAATAATCTGAATTTTTAAAAAAAATATCACGGAGTGCTACGTAGTAGGAGTTTATGACTTTTAACCATTGTATAAAGTTGTACATGATCTTTTTTCTTTGGTGAAGGAGCATAGAATATATATAGTAACATTGCTCTGCATATTAGAATTTAAAAGGCTACTAAAATGTTTATTGCATTGTACATAATGGTTTATTTTATTAACTGCATTTCTGAGTGTTTGCAATCTCAGGCTATTATATTTGTTCTCGTTCGTCCAATTTCAAAGAACGTGTATCGAAG